GTCAGGCATTCATGATTATAACTTATGTTAACAACAAATCAAGTTCATATTGAGTTGTACCATATATTATGGGCTATAAAAGTGGCAAACATTTGTTGTAGCAAGTGTTATACAATATAAATCTAGATTAGTCATTTAACAAGTAAAGTGTTAAATAGTGAACAAGATAACAAATACAACACATGTTAAAATCAAACATTAAAGTCCATATTGAGTTTACACTATACTTATTCTTACACTATTAGTGTAACCTTTTCACCTTGACATAATAAATTTAACTCAACATAATAAAAGAAAGAAAAATAAAAAAAAACAAAATAAGAACATAAATAACCTAAATTTGAGATCTACAACTCCATATATGACTCAATTACCGAATATTGTTCTAGTTTGGGCTGCACTAACATCTCCTTTCTAAGTTTGACTATCTCTTTGTCCTTTCAATTTTAGTTTTTATATTCATCAATCAATCTTTTCTTTTATGTGATAGGCCTTCATTTAAAATGAATATTTACCTTCATTTAAAGGTATCTTATATTATTAGATATGTTAATATAAAAGATATTTTAGTTAAGGAGTTATTAATACTTTAAGTGCAAAATGATAATATAAAACTTTGATAAAAATACAATTTTAAGTACTAATCAACACCACTCTTCATGAGATTGAATTGGTCTCCTAAGTGCCATATACATCACTTCTTATAAGATTGATATAGTCTTTCCAAGTTCTATATACACCACTCTGCATGGAATAGACTTGGTCTTCCTAGTGCTTTGTGCACCACTCTTATAGATTTGATATCCCTATACTATATGCACCACTCTCCATGGGACAAACCATAAGCTCTCACACCTCAAAAAACATATAACCATTTAGAAATGTTTTAAGTATAGACTCATCCTCTAATAAGTTTCCTATCCACTTACAAAATTTTCAAGTACATGCTCCACATTCAATGAGTTTGGTGATGAGAGTTTCTCTAATAGAACTCCTTTTAATGTGAGTTGATCTTTTGTAATGGCTTCCCATAACTACTTAGAAATTTTTTAAGTATAGACTTCATGCTCAATAAGTTTAGAGATAGAAATTCCTCCAAAGTGAGTTAATTACCTCAAATGGTTTCCTTATAGTCACTTAGAAATTTTTTAAGTACATGCTCCATGCTCAATGAGTTTAGAGATGAGAATTCCTCTAAATTGAGTTCATTTAATCCAATGGGTTCATTATTTTATTCACTTAGAAATTTTTTAAGAACAGGCTCCACACTCCATGAGTTTGGAGATAGGAGTTTCTTCAAAGTGAGTTGATTTCCTTTCATCAGTTCCCCCTAGTCACTTAGAAATTCTATAAGTATAGGTTCCATGCTTAATGTGTTTGGAGATGTCAATTCTTCCAAAGTGAGTTGATTTCTTCCAATGGAATCCTAGCCACTTATAAAACTTCTAAGTTGGCAAAGCAACCTTTAAAACATTATTAACTAAAACTAAAACAAGTTATCATAAACAAATGATAATAAAAATCACTTTAAGTAGGTCTCAAGTACTCCACTTTTAAAGTGTGCAAAAGTATACAATTCAAGCTTGAAATCTTTAATGAGAGTAGACTTTTATTGCTGCTTTTCTTTCTTCTTTTTTGTAAACCCATCAAGGCCAAACCTTTGAATCTTTACCAAACTCTTGAACTTAGTATTGAATCCCTTAGAGCTTAGCCAATTTTTTTTTTTCTTTCCTCTCCTCCTCCTTCTTTTCACTGTTAGATTATGTCTTTTTTATAAGGTGATTTGAAGCTTCTAAATGAATTTATTATGGTTTTGACAAACCAAAACTAAGTCGATTTTATCATAGGATAGATGGTTTTGATCAAACTTGGAGGTCAAAGTGAAGGGTTTCAACCCTTTGATCTTGAGAGAAGTGCTTTTTAGGAGTTTTTAAGCGTGAACACATGAACAATTTAAGTGGTTATAATTTTAAAATCTCAAAGTAAAGAGATCATTAGCAAGAAATTCACAATGTTTTAAATTATAAATCTTATGTTTTCAAAAAATTTACTAGTTTATGCAAAAACAAATTTTGGCTACAAGAAAGATAAATGACATGCCTTTTCAACGTAGTAACTCTATGACGAACTGGTTGCAATTTTATAATTTACAATAACTTATGATTTTATAGATGAGTCAAAGCTTGACCCATTGGTTAAAGTGTCTATATTTTATTGGACATGGCCGGTTTTAACCAGTTTTGATAGTATCTATTGTGGGCTTCAATTCTTCATCTCAGTACAAACTAATTTGATGGCTAGATTATTAGATTTTTGGTCGGACCGATTGATCGAATTTGGGTTTAATAACACTAATTTTCTTGTTCACTCTTTAATACTTTGCTTGTTAAATGATTAATCTTGATTTATGTTGTATAACACTTGGTACAACAAATGCTTGGCACTTTCATAGCCCATAATGTATGGTATAACCGACACCTGAGCTATGAAAGGAACTTGATTTGTTGTTAACATAAGTTATAATCATGAATGTTTGACGAGATTTACAAGTATTAGCATTAATTGAATAAGATGACTAATGTAATCATGTTAACAATATATAATCTGATTGGAACCTCCTTTGTGTGTGGTTTCCAATTCAATAATAAGAGTTTATACTATACTTGTTTGATATATCATTAGTGGAACCTCTAACCTTGACATTTGTTATTATTATTGTTTAATCCTTACATTAATTTTCCATCTCCAAGTTCTCATCATCTTCTTCTTCTTCTCTTTCTTTATTATTATTATTATTATTTTTATTATTATTATTACTATTGTTGTTGTTGTTATTGTTGTTTTATAATTGTTGTTTATAATTTGTACAATTAACCTCCCTGTGGTTCGACCCCGGTCTTGCCGGGTTATTTATTACTTCGACACTCCTACACTTGGGAGAAGACATCAACCTTTTAGTCATGTCATTCATGTCAAGGCATCTTTTTGAGCATGGAAAGGCTTTTTGGGAGAGAGAATAAGAAGTTACAATGGGTTCAGTTCATAAAGAACAAAAACTTGCCATGTCTCATACACCCAAACAGAACTTCATCAACTAGTATTAAAAACACATGAACTTTTACACAACACGACCATCCATCTTTTGTTCTTTCATCACCTCACACACGGCTAGCAGTGACTGATAAAATTCGTAACATTAATTGAAAGAACAAAAATACATTACTTTTCTTAAACAAAGTCGTCAAGAAGTCTTATTTTCAAACTCATCACTGAACACAAACTCACAAAAGAAGCCTGAATTTAAACCACATAATATGGCTTTGGTTTTGCAACGATGCCGGCCTCGACATGCATCATGTTGACTCCAGCACTAACATTATTGCAGGCCTCCATTTATTTCTCAAATCAAAAACATAATTTAAAATAGTAAATATCATAGTTCTTCAGACGAGACACATTTGTGTACTTGGAATGTATCAACCAGAAATTCTGGCCAAGCGAGCTTTCCGGTTCTTAATCAGTTTTTGCGCAAGGCTGCAAAAAATCAATGCAAAGATTGCAAAATTAGACCCACACAATGCTCAAGGCTATTAATTTTGGTGCAAAACCACCAAAGAAAAAATAAGTAACACAAATTTATCATTTAATCAAGTTCTTACGCTTCAAGATCGGCATCGTGCTTTGCTGCAAGATCGTCACCAATCTTCACGAGATTGTTCAGATTTTCTTGGCTAGCATCGTCCATCTTGGCCTCAGAGAGTTTCATCTTAGCCTGAAAATCGTGTTAACTTGAGCAGCACATCAATTGAGGAGAAATACAAGTGCATGGTAAAGAGTATGATCGAAACTCTCCATTTTAAATAAGTACTGAGGTAAATCTTTGGAAATGTTTTCCTTCGTTTCTACACAGCTATATATGTATCTATATCTATATATATATATATATAT